TGAAGGGAATATCCAGCAAAAGGTTAATACCTTCCTCATGCAATATCGAAAGGCTCCCAATATGGCAACCATAATAAGTCCGACTATGCTTTTCCTTCAGAAAGACATTTGGACTGGAATAGATCTTGTTTTACCCTCACTTGGTCGGAAGAGTTAATGAGAAGATCAGGAAAAATGCGTATGCTTTCCAAGACCGCATTTTTCACGAAGGTGATAAGGTGGCTATTCGATACTATCGTTCAAACACAAGGTGGAAATTTGGAACAGTTATGAGCAAAGATGGAGCCCTTCATTACACAGTTAATGTGCAAGGTACGTTGTATAGACGCCATGTAGACCAAATGCGACCAACAGGAGTCCTGATATTGGACAAGACTGCTCATATTCCACGAATTAATTTTAGCAGTGATACTCCGCACATCGGCACTACTGATAATTCTCCTGCATCCACTGATTCTGGTGTAGATATTCAAAAACACTCTGGATCTGTCAAATCAACACCGGAAACTCGACGACCATCTCCAACTAAGAACCAAAGTTCAGCTGTTTTGCTCGAGAAGTTTTCCATCTTCAACTTCTCAACAAACTCCATTTCATCCGAGGCAATTACAAAGGATTAGACGGCCCCCTAAGAGACTTACCCTTTAAATTTCCATTTTAAGGGGGGAGGAGAGAGGAGATGTCGTGTATTAAGCCGTTCGAGGCTATGTTTACGAACTATCACGCCTACGCCATAGAATTCGGACTCTCCCTCTTAAAAGTTTCAGTTTAGATTCCTCACCTGTTAGTGTTGCGTTAAGACGCATCTACTGTATTCTAAATTTTAAATGCTGTAAATTATTAATAAATAGTTCTTGCATACATAAGAGTGTTATTTCCTAAGCCCTCACACTATGGTACAGCACACTGTAGATGTAAGCTCTTCCAGATAAGAATAGTTATCTTTCAATTTGAATAGTTCACACTTGGAACTTGAATTGTTCGATAGGAATGTCGTATCCGGCTGGCACCAACCCCAGTGCTGACGTGAAAGATCCCCAGTGGTATACGGATTATGGGTTAGACTCCGCTAGTCGGCAGGTTAACCCTGGGAGGTTTTCGTGGTTTTTCCTGCATGTAACGCAAATGCAGGTTAGTTCCATCAAAGTCCACCCATCAAAATTTTCTCCCAATACTTGATCTAGGATTTCCCTTGTCTTCTGGATTCGGTTCAAAATTGCAAGGGTACGGAATAGAACATTAGTAGTCGTAAACCCAAATAGTTGGGTTGCCTGTTAAACGACGTTTATTCAATAAAATAAAATTCTTGTGATTAAAGTTATATTTCAGAACTAAGAAAAAATTTATGTTTCTCTTTTATTAACTTTTCTTTTTATTACCGTTTTTATTATAACAGCAGGTTTTCAAGATCGTTTCTAATGAACATTATTCTTTCATGGGCACTTTTTTTTCAAAAAATACGGCTTTGTGAGAAAGTTCAATTGCAATTTCTAGCGTTGAACCTTTCATTTAAAAAGTAAGAATGTTTTATTTTTTATCTAGATTTTTTTTTCTTTTCTTTTTTTGCGTTTTCCTTATGACGCGGCAATAAGGAGGGTATTTATTACATTTTAGACTTCACTTTTTCTTGAAAATACGGATTTTACAACTTTAATTTTTTAATATATAGCTGTTAATCAGTTTTTTTTCCTTAAATATTTCTTATTATCTATTAAACATTTTTATTAAAAAAAATTTCCTTCACCACTTAGCAATATAACAGCTAAGTTTGGACTATTTTTGGATGATGACAAATCCGTTGTTTTAAATATTTTGCTTAAAAATTGCACTATAAAAATTCTAGACTAAAGAAAAATTTTTAGTTATTTCTTAACCTGTTGTTTGACATTTGAATTTTTGAAAATACTTATTGTTAGTATTACAAATTTTAGGGAGAGAAAAAATCAAGCCTAATTGTTTTCTCTGTCTAAGTATTAATAATTTGCTTAGTATTATTAATTTTTAAATATTAACTAATATATTCTGTTTTACCTGTATTCATTGGTAATTATTATACTAGTCTTTTTTTGGTATTATTTGAATAATATTTTAAGTTATCTTCATTGATGCAAATAATTCTAATTCAAAAAGTCTCTTGCAAATTTATGTGGCACTTAAAACAAATATTTTTCCGAATTACTTTTTCATAATTTATTTACATACACAATGGTAAATGATAAGGCAAAAAAAATAAAATCCAGCATCAAATATAAAAACAATTGAGAATATTTTGAAATTGAAAATGTGTTTAATTGAAAGTATTAAAAATACTTGTAACGAGTTAAACTTTAAAAACGAATTTGTGATATAAAAAAAATCACGAACTGCCCTTATGGTTAGAACGACAATAGTGAAATTGTGTAACTAATAACTCTAGCATGAAATTCTTAAATAAAGTACAACTACTTGGCATCCTTGTCTTCTGAGTTGGGTTTAATGTAAGAGGGTAATGTAAGGCAAAAAATTCATTGCAGAGAATTTTTTTCCAAATCTAGTTCAATATAACACAACGATTGAAAATACCATTTCCAAAAAAGAGATAAATTATTAAATTTGAAAAATAAATATTGCATTGTTTGAGTTGCGAATTGTAATTTATTATAAAAAATATTATAAAAAAGAAGAAAATAATGTTTTTCTTGAAAAAATAACTTACAATTATTAAAATGTATAAGTTTGCAATTGCGAAAAAAAAAAAAAAAAAAAGAGGAATCATAAAAAAGAAAGTGAAAAATTGAAAAAGCAGTTTCTTTTAAAATTGTAAAGCAAATTTTTTTTAAGATTATTTAAACTAACAATTATTTAAAAAATGCTAGTTTAAAGTTTATTTCATGCATTCTACCGATTTATTAAAGTTTATTTATTGCGCGTTATTTTGATACTTATTGTAGCTTTAAAACTAAAAGATTTTAGTGTTATAAAGTATAAAGCTACACATTTTATCAATTGCAAATAATAAAAAAAAAAAAAAAATTATAAATAATAGAAGGTAATAAAGTAATCATAAATATAATAAAAATTTTATAAATAATAAAATAAGTAAAAATAGAAAATTGCAAAATTTTGTGAAATTAAATATTAATCATTAGTTCTTTAAATCTAAAAGCACTCGATAATATACATATAATTTCTAAAGTTTCATAATCTAGTATAGGTAATAAATAAAGATGTATTGGATTTGTATTATTTGACGTATTATTTTTTATTTTAAGAATATTTCTTTTTTTTGGCAAACTGTTAGTAAATATAGTTATAGGTAAATCGATTCTCTAATAATAAATACAATAATGCAAACAAGTTTAAAACGAATACTACATATTAAATTCTTGAAGAAAGATCAAAGATTAAAATATGTAGATATTTATTTTAGACTATGTATGTAACTGTCAAAATGAAAGAAGAATACATTCTCTTTCTGAAAGAACACTGTAAACTCTGGGATAGAGGTCACGACCCCTAAGCGAAGGGAGAACGATTAAAGGATAAACAAAAGCCATTGGTCACTTTCTTATAACTATCGATACAAAACGTCACTTCCTAGGGGGAGGGTCCGAACCTTTGTTCGAGGGCTGGGATTCCCTTCACCGCTCTCTTCGGGAGTTGCGAGGTTTGGATTTTGTTTTACTATCGGACGGTGGTATAGAATAGACTTCGGGGAATAGTGACGTCACCGTCCGTGTTCGAAGTCTGCGAGGTTTGGGGTCCTTCTCCTCCTCTTTTCAGTTGCATAGGAGGAATGAACTACGATATTTTTCCTTTTCGTATTATTTTTCGTTTTTAATTAATAAAAATATTTTTTAAAATTTCAATGATGATTTCTTTTAGAACAATGTTTGATGTAGCTTTCAGTTTCAGTTGGGAAACTTCCCAACTTGAAAGATAAGACAGAAACTAACGTATTTCCTTCTCCGATGACTCTCCACACGCTAATGGTGAAAGCATGCGAAGTGTTGAAATAGGTAGAGAGTTCTGCTCTACGCCATCTGTAGCCCATTTTGCCAATATCATTAGATTTAGTAAAACGATCGTTTTCGAAGTCGCGACTTCGCTGGTATTAGGTTTTTACTCTAACAAGAAGATAAATTTTTTTTCTGTTCATTTACATTTACCGATGTGTTTTAGATGTTCTTTTGGTAAAAAAAAAAAAAAAAAAAAAAGAGATACCATTTTGTTTTTACTTGCATAAAAAAATATATCAGAAAAATTTTCTTTTTTGAAATTTAATAAGCCACAATAAAGAAGGAACGTTACAATGCTAAACGCTACATAACAGACGTCTCCAGAACATCTGAATGATTGTTCATATAGATAGTGTCTTCAATATAAATGTAAACAACAACATTCTCGATATCTTTACCTTCTCTACTTCCGATTAGAAAGTGTAAACTGCTTACTACATCTTATTCTACGAGGCGATATCTTCAAACAGATAATTATTTCTTAATTAAAGAAATAAACAATATAATTTCTGAGCTCAATTCATTAGATATTAAGTAATTCTGGTGAATTGGAAGTGAAAATTTGTTTTAGTTATTTATAGATGTATTGTTAAATTGGAGGACATGGTTGTTAGATTTAGAACTCCCTTTTTTGGCAGTTCTGATTTGGCCTCTTCTTACTATTACTGTTTATTCTTATTACAAGCGGTGCATCATTATACGTTAGAATTATCATATTATTCGAGTAGCGAGGTAAGCATCATTTTATAAATTATCATTTAGGTTTAAGTTTTGAAGTTGGTATATTGTTGACTAGGCAAGAAGTGTTTTATGCCAAATCTTTTCTTCAAATGGCGATTCTTACGTCTTTAAAAGACAGGTCTTCAAATGACAGTTCTTATAGAGATTATTTTTTAAACCAGATAACAAATATACGTATACAAGATATGCTACTCAAGAGAGTCTCAAAACACAATGATCACGTTGTGAACCGAATGGCTGTAATTACGTCAGAAACTGTAATCCGGAAGTGCAGGCGGTATTGTGCTTGCAGTGCATCCTAGTGAAGAAAACACCATCCATAGAAATCGCAGCTATTCGTTATACAGCAACTCCCTCTATAAATCTTTGCGATACTGAATAATTTTAGTGAGTAGAAATAGGCAACTAAATACTGGCCACTGGGTGCAATTTGAATCTTGAACAAAAATAATAAAATGAGTGTTTGTAAAAAATGTTTATTAGTTTATTTGCATGAATATTATCTTATTCTAATGTCTTTATTTTCTTCGTACTGAAAGAGAGCCTAATTAATAAGAAATTGTGTGAAGAAAAAAAAGCGATTGAAATAAGGAAAAAATCTTCGTCATTTATGACGAAGATTTTTAGCACTCTTGGAGCAATAGTGAGTATTCATGTTGTGTATGATTCAGTACATTAAAAAATTTGAGTATACGAATTTTTTCGGTGTTACTTTACAATGAGATATCTCTCTTGATTTGTCAATTTTTTGTTTTGTTGAAGAAATTAAGGAAAATGACTTAAAAGGGACATTTTCGGAAATGTTTTCTAATCATGATCTGCGCCAAAATCACGAGAAACTAAAAATAACTTCACGGAAAGGTACCAATTGAAAGGGTCCTATAGTTGGTAGTCACCCCAGGGCAAACAACTATATGATTTTTTTTTTAAATAAAAGTAAGAAAATGGAAGATTTCAAACATACAATAAGAGTCCTTGGCTCTCAATGAAGTGACTTTAGTTCAAATCGCAATGATGACTGGTTGATACGAATTCCGCTCCTGCCCGACAGTAATGACGTTAAATATTCTCAGTGGGTTAGAGTCCCTTTGCCTAAAACTAATCAAGGGAGGTTTTCCTCTCTATGTAATGCAAATGTTGATTAGTTCTACCAATAAGTCCACCACGAAGGCACATTTCTCACAATACTTGATCCAGAAATTCTGATGTCTTCTTGATTAATTTCAAAAGTACAAGGCTATGGATTTGATCATTTTTAGTTGTAAACTCAAAATAGGGTTGACTGTTTAGCAATGGTAATAGAATAAAATATAATACACAGTATGATCTCATAAAAAGTTAATCATTGCAATATGTGCAGAACAGTATTCAAATATGGGTTTTTGATGTCAAAAACTGGTTTTTGCAATGACACGATGAAAACCAGTTGAAAACTTTCATAAACTGCCAAAAACCTGGGGACAAGCTTATTTTTTGTCATTGGGGACATTTTATTCAATACTAAATCATACACAGTACTTGAATTACATATATTACTATAATTATGGTTTATTATAGCTTAAATTATTTAATCTATACAGCAGAGTATGTTCTATCATACAAACGAGTTTTTGAGGGAATAATAATTAAATAAATTATTTTATAGTTATTATTTGTTTACATTTTTATTTAGCTTGAATTTTTTGCTAAGTTCATTTCATGCATTTTTAATAAAAATTTACTTAGATCTGTTTCAGTAGGTAATACAAATATTGCCACATAAGCTTTTATTTGCTGATTGCTAATTTACAAAAAGGAATTTACTTTGTTTTTCTTTTTTTTTTAGTTTTCTACAATTTTTTTTTTCTGTAAAAATTGAGACTTTAACTTGAAGGAAGTGTGATCTGATTTTTTTTCTTGGAAACGTCTTGTTACTTCTGCAGGTTTTGATGACTAAAGTTCAAACAAAGAATTTGAACATTACCTTATCAAGGCTCAGTGATGTAGCATTGTATACGATATGAAACATTTAGCATCAGGGGTGATTGTATCCTGTTTTTTTTTATTATCTGCAGGTCTAGAAACTAAGAGCAGCACATGTGATTTTTTTCGCGAATAAAAACTAATCATTGGACGAAATTTTCATAACAATCTAAAATTTAAAGTGTAAATTAAGTTCTACAATTTGAATTTTGAAGCTGTAGTGTATCTACCACTACAAATATACAATTCCAATTCACTAGTTTACAAGACATGTTAACTCGATTCTTTGTTGGAGTATCTTTTCATAGATGAAAGTTGACTTTGTTGATATTACTCTCCTCTTATTGGTGACCTTCCGACATAATGTGAACATGCCTACCTTGACAGAAACTCCCACTTTGATATAAACACTCCAATCTTGACAGTAACACCCACTTCGATTTGAACTCGACTACTTTGAAGGATGGTCACTATTGAACAGTTGACTTGCTACTTGTGACAATGACATTATCCACCTCCTCCTGCGGTTGCTACTCAGTCTCGATCACACACAACATCGGCCTAGTAGTGATCAACTAGTGATATCCGTTCATCGAATTCTATCGCAGATAAAATTCTGCTGGGGGAGTACTGTAGTGTATTTACCACTACAAATATACAATTCCAATTCACTAGTATACAAGACATTGTGGGTAATAGTTGTTATCGACAATGTCAACCTTCACCTATGAAAAGGTACTCCAACATAGAATCAAATTAACATCTCTTTATTACTAGTTAATTGTTATTTTATAGTGGTAGACCCTCTACAGTACTCTCCCACCAGAATTATAGCTGTGATAGAATTCGATAAACAGATACCACTAGTTGATTCATTTCTGTTTTGTGAGAAGCCGCGAGAACTGTATTAAGAGTGCTGAGCGTTAGAGCTGTATTAATTTCATGGTCGTATTCGCTTCTTTATTGCCTTTAGCAGTCAAGTGAATACTTTGTACGTTATGTGTGATCGATACTGCAATCTAAAATTTAAAGTGAGAATTTAAATTTTGTAACATTCCCTAAATCGTGTTAACCAGAAGTTTTAATACATATGACTCTTCTGCAATTTTGATTTTTTTTGTTTGTCAGTCACGTTTAATATTTAAAATTACACCGAAATCCGCAAATATCGTGATCCAAATTCACGCAATTTTTGTTTTCATATTTATCGGATTTAAAAGCTACTCACTGTGAATCGTATTCACGCAATTTAAAACTAGTGCACCTTGAATCGTTTTCCCATGGTTTAAAAATCCAGTAATTTGTATATACAAGTTTTTGAAATCAATAGCGCGATTTGTATTTACATGAATTTAAAATCCAATATCGCTATTCATATTCACAGGATCTAAAAATCCATCCTACATCTCGATTCGTATTTACGCCAAAAATCTTATATTGCGATTTGTATTTTAACGTTTTTAAATCCATTATCGTAAATATTATTCGCACGATTTTAAAACCCAATGCTGTGATTCTTTTAAAAACAAAGTTTTTTCTTAAATTAGATACCTTGAAAGAGTGATATTCTTTATTAGTAAGTAATTTAATTATAAATCTTAGTTATAGCTATAGTCCTACTTAATTATATTGAATAGGACAAGTATCTATTATATCTTTTCAATGAGTTTTTACCCAGAAACTCCTAACAGATCAGCAAGTGCAATTCGTGAGACCAGAACAATGGATTCCAAACAGTCCTGATGCTGTACCATGCGACTATTTCCTATGGGGACATCTGAAAAACAAACTGAATAAGCGAAGAATTTCTACATTGAGCGGCCTTCAAAGATCTATTAGAGAAGAGGTGAAGAAAATCCCCCAGGAAATCATTTTGTGGTCTTTAAAATCCTGGTCGAAGCGTTGTAGACAAATCTATTATGCCGGAGGTCGACATATTGAGAAGCATCGCTGAATTTATGTAATAAATTTTGGAAATATAAAAATTCAAAAATGATCCCTATATTTTTTTGTTACCCTGTATTGACTTTACATGATAGCAACAATGTTTTTGTTGTATACTTTTGCAGCTTCTTTAATATTTTCAGCCATAGTAACTAAAGTTAAACATGCAACCTTTTTTTTAGGTGGAAAAAATTTAAAAATATTTATTATGTAATCTTTGTAAAAAAAATTTCGATGGCAGTAAATTAAAGCAATGAACAGCTACAACTATAAATGTTTCTAAACCATTTTTTTTCTTTAACCAGTATATTTTTAAGGTTATAAGGATATTGCCTGAATCTTAACACATTTTTAAATAAGTCACTATTTATCACTTTTTAAAAAAATTTAGTCACTATTTTCGCTACTTTTTCTACAATGACCTGTGCTGAGCCCTGTAATCGCCCTGTAGCCAGTGTTGAATGTTAATTTTACCTTGTACAAAAGTTTATTATACCTGTTGACGTAGCTTAAATACTTATTTTAATTGTTTCACAGAATTTGATGAAATTTTAATATGCAATAAATTTTACGAACATTAATGACTTTTAATTTTTTTTTCTCAATGTTGCGGTTTGTAGTTGGATGCAGTGTTCTGAATTTCATGGTGCTTGAAGACAACCAAAGATATTAGCCAAGAATTTATTTCTACTGCTAACCACAGAGAACGCAAGGCATTTTCATTACTTATAGGACTATAATAATACTGTATGCTTTTTTTATTACTATGGTTTTTTCATTGCTATGTATTTATTACTATAAATTACTCTGATATTCATTCCATTGTAAAACTTAGATGTATTTATAGCAATTTAAGTACTACTTTTCCTTTAGCCTTTTAATATAATACCCAGTAATCCTTATTAGTATCCAACAGTAACTCAATAACTCATTCTACTGAGAGACATTTGAGTGAAATTTTTAGTGAAGTTTTTCTACAAATAAATTTTAACTTGCCATAAAACTGTTCACTTTTACAAAATTTTATGATTGCTATACATTTTGATCTTTGAAATTATAATTAGTTATATATAGATTAATACACTTGCATTTTATACAATATGAGTTTTTTAACAGACAGTAGCATGCTTTGGCCTAATGTTAATACCGATAGGAAACTTTATTTTTGTGTTATATGTGATAAGAATTTTTTCACAGAAGAGTAATCTGACTGGGCACAGTCACTCTCATACAGATAAGAAACCTTATTCTTGTGGTATATGTAATAAGAGTTTGTCATCTAACTGTACACTATCACACTCATACTTGTGAGAAACATTATTCTTATAGTATATGTAATAAGAGTTTTTCAGAGAAGTGTAATCTGACTCTACACAGTCGTTCTCATACTGGTGAGAAACCTTATTCTTGTAGTATATGTAAAAAGAATTTTCCAGAGAAAAGTAATCTGACTGTGCACAGTCGTTCTCATACTGATGAGAAACCATATTCTTGTAGTATATGTAGTAAGAGTTTTTTACAGAAGATGCATCTAAATATCCACAGTTTCACTCATACTGGTATTAAGCCTTATTCTTGTAGTATATGTAACAAGAGTTTTTCATATAGGTGTCATCTAACTGTACACTATCGCACTCACACTGGTGAGAAACCTTATTCTTGTAGCATATGTAATAAGAGTTTTTCATGTAATAGTCATCTGACTATGCACAAGCTTGTTCATACTGGTGAGAAACCTTATTCTTGTAGTATATGTAATAAGAATTTTTCAAGGAAGAGTAATCTGACTTTGCACAGCTGTGTTCATACTGGTGAGAAACCTTATTCTTGTAGTATTTGTAATAAGAGTTTTTCAAGGAAGAGTAATCTGACTATGCACAGTCGTTCTCACACTGGTGAGAAACCTTATTCTTGTACTATATGCAATAAGAGTTTTTCAGTAAAGCATAGCTTGACTGTGCACACTCAATCTCATACTGGTGAGAAACCTTATTTTTGTAGTGTATGTAATAAGAGTTTTTCAGACAAGAGCAATCTGACTGTGCATAGTCGTTTTCATACTGGTGAGAAACCTTATTCTTGTAGTATATGTAATAAGACTTTTTTACAGAAGATACATCTAAATAAGCACAGTCTCACTCATACTGGGGAGAAACCTTATTCTTGTAGTATATGTAATAAGAGTTTTTCAGACAATAGCAATCTGACTGTGCACAGTCGTTCTCATACTGGTGAGAAACCTTATTCTTGTAGCATATGTAATAAGAGTTTTATGCAGAAGATAAATCTAAATAGCCACAGTCTCACTCATACTGGGGAGAAACCTTATTCTTGTAGTATATGTAATAATAATTTTTCAAGTAAGAGTAATCTGGTGGTGCACTGTCGCTCTCATACTGGTGAGAAACCTTATTCTTGTAGTATATGTAATAAGAGTTTTTCAACGAATGCTTGTCTAATCAATCACAGTCGCATTCATATTGGTGAGAAACCTTAATCATGTAATAAATTTTTTTTAGGTTGATTTAATCTTGACTTTTCACATAGCGTTTTAATAGTGGCAACTTTTTTATACATGTAATTACTTTTTAATTATATCATAATGTAAATCTTTCTTTTCAAGTCTTTTCCAAAATATGATGAACCTTAAAGTTTATTCTTAATACAGCATCATTTTAAGAAACAAGTTGATAACGAAGTAATTTTCAAAATATTTAATCTAAAAGAATAATAATAATTCAATGCATTTTTGACGTCCAAAGTAGGGACTTGCAGACAAATTTTTAACCGCCCCATAGCCAGTGTTGACTGTTATTTTGTCCTGCACAAAAGTTAATTGCATCTGTTAGCATAACTTAAGTTTTATTTCAATGGTTACAAAAAAAATTGATTACATTTGAATACACAATAAATTTTAAGACCATTTTTGACATTTAATTTTTTTCTCAATGTTGCTCTTTATAGTTATGCATTGTTCTGAATTTTATGGTGCTTGAAGAGAAACAAAGATATTAACCTAGAATATGTTTCTACTGCTCACCATAGAGAAAGCAAGGCATTTTCATTACCTTATAGCACTATAATAATACTGTATGCTTTTTTTATTACTATGATTTTTTTATTGCTATGCATTTATTACTATGAATTACTCTAATATTCATTCCACTGTAAAACTAAGATGTATTTATAACAATTTAAGTACTACTTTTGCTTTAGCCTTTTAAAATAATATCCAGTAATATTTATTAGTATCCAACAGTAGCTCCATAACTCTTTCTACTGAGAGACATTTGACTAAAAATTTTAATGAGGTTTTTCTACAAATAAATTTTAACTTGCCATAAGACTATTCACTCTTACAAAATCTTATGATTGCAATATATTTTGATCTTTGAAATTATAATTAGTTATATACAAATTACTACACTTGCATTTTATAAAATATGAGTTTTTTTACACTGTTAACACTGATAAGAAACTTTATTTTTGTGTTATATGCAATAAGAATTTTTCTCAGAGGAATATTACTGTGCACATTCGCTCTCATACAGGTAAGAAACTTTATTCTTGTAGTATATGCAATAAGAATTTTTTCACAGAAGAGTAATCTGACTGTGACAGTCTCTCTAATAGGGATGAGAAACCTTATTCTTGTAATATGTCATAAGAGTTTTTCTTCTAGTTGTGATCTAACTAGACGCAGTCGCTCTCATGCTGGTGAGAAACCATGTTCTTGTAGTATATGTAATAAGAGTTTTTCAGAGAATTGTAATCTGGCTGTACACAGTCGTTCTCATACTGGTGAGAAACCTTATTCTTGTAGTATATGTAATACGAGTTTTTTTTTACAGAAGATACATCTAAATAACCACGTTCTCACTCATACTGGTGAGAAACCTTATTCCTGTACTATGTGTAATAAGAGTTTTCAGTCAAAAGTAATCTGACTGTGCACAGTCGCTNGGTGAGAAACTTTATTCTTGTAGTATATGCAATAAGAATATTTTCACAGAAGAGTAATCTGACTGTGACAGTCTCTCTAATACGGATGAGAAACCTTATTCTTGTAATATATGTCATAAGAGTTTTTCTTCTAGTTGTGATCTAACTAGACGCAGTCGCGCTCATGCTGGTCAGAAACCATGTTCTTGTAGTATATGTAATAAGAGTTTTTCAGAGAATTGTAATCTGACTGTACACAGTCGTTCTCATACTGGTGAGAAACCTTATTCTTGTAGTATATGTAATACGAGTTTTTTACAGAAGATACATCTAAATAACCACGTTCTCACTCATACTGGTGAGAAACCTTATTCCTGTACTATGTGTAATAAGAGTTTTCAGTCAAAAGTAATCTGACTGTGCACAGTCGCTCTCATACTGGTAAGAAACCTTATTCTTGTAGTGTATGTAATAAGAGTTTTTCAGAAAAGCATAGCCTGACTGTGCACAGTCGTTCTCATACTGGTGAGAAACCTTATTCTTGTAGTATATGTAATACGAGTTTTTTACAGAAAATACATCTAAATAACCACGTTCTCACTCATACTGGTGAGAAACCTTATTCCTGTACTATGTGTAATAAGAGTTTTCAGTGAAAAGTAATCTGACTGTGCACAGTCGCTCTCATACTGGTAAGAAACGTTATTCTTGTAGTGTATGTAATAATAGTTTTTCAGAAAAGCATAGCCTGACTGTGCACAGTCAATCTCATACTGGTGAGAAACCTTATTCTTGTAGCATATTTAATAAGAGTTTTTTACCGAAGATTCATCTAAATAACCACAGTCTCATTCATACTGCTGTGAAACCTTTTTCTTGTAGTATGTGCAATAAGAGATTTTTACATAAGAAGCATCTAAATAATCAGTCTCACTCATACTGGTGAGAAACCTTATTCTTGTAGTACATGAAATAAGATACTTTTACAGAAGATAAACCTAAATAATCACAATCTCACTCATACTGGTGAAAAACCTTATTGTTGTATTATGTGTGATAAGAATGTTTCATATGAGTGTGATCTAACTAAACACAATTGCACTCATACTCGTAAAAATACCTTGATCTTGTAACTTATGTGATACATTTTCTACTCTTATTTTTTCACATAAGCGTAAGTGTGTTTTCTTTTGAGTAACTTAATTCTGTTAGTGAGTGTAATAAAAGTTTTTTTTTAAATAAAGTGATCTAGCCTTTCATTTATTTTCATTGTGGTTTTAAAATTCATTCTTGTAGTGCTAGTCAATTTAGGTCTCTCCACTACACATTCTTGAGGTTTGTGGTTTCTAGATCACCAATTTTTTTTAAACCAGTTCTTCAATCCACTTTTAGTTCAATACTTCTTTTTTACTACACATCCTAATCTTTCCTGGAGGTTCATTATCCTAAACTTCAATTGTCCAAACCCACCCTCCCTCAGATAGCAACTAACAATGATACTAGGGATGACTGATTCTACAATTGACAATAAAAACATGTTTAGTCCTTACCTACCTACTGTAGATATAAACTCTTCCAAATAAGAATGGTTATTTTTGAACTTGAATTGTTCACACCCACCCTCCTTCGCTCGGATACCAACAAACAATGATAAAGGAATAGTTGATTAGGTTTTTGTGGTTTTCCTCACTATGTAACGCAAATGCAGGTTAGTTTCATCAAAAAGTCCTCCACGAAAGCAAATTTCTACCTATACTTGATCCACGAGTTCCCTTGTCTTCTGGGTTCGTTTCAAAATTTCATGGCTACGGAGTTGGTCATTAGTAGTCTTAAACCCAAAAAATTGGGTTTTTTGTTCAACGACGGTATTAAAATAAAATGAATTCATATCATTAAAGTTCTTTTTCAGAACTAAGAGAAGAAAAAAGAAATTTTCTCTTTTATTAACTCTTCTTTTATCACCATTTTTACTATGACAACAGGTTTTAAAGAACGTTTCTAATAAGCATTGTTCTTTTACGGACACTTTTTTCTAAAAATACGGCTTTGTGAGAAAGTTAAATTGCAATTTCTAGTGTTGAATCAACGGGATTACAAACACACGATCGGCAACCTTGGAACTGCCCCAGTATTTAAGAAGCTTCGAACTTTACTCAGTCTCTATCCCACACAGTCTTACTTAATTTTTATGTTTCTGTTTTTAGCTTGTTATGTTCAGTTGTTAAATAAATGTTTAAGTTTATTGTTGTCATAGTTGTCTTCAACTTAATATGAGAGGGTTCCTCCCCCTCAATTGGTGACCCTTGTGTTTATTATGTTTTTGGATACGCTATTATCCGTTGTTTTNAATGATTTTTGTTTTGTTCTTTTATCTAGATTTTTCATTATCAATTTTTTTTTTTTTTATGACGCGGCAATTAAGAAGGTACTTATTACATTTCAAACTTAACTTTTTCTAAGAAAATACGGATTTTACAACTTGAATTTTTTTATAGCTGTTAATCAGTTTTTTATTTATCTTAAATATTTCTACTTATCTATTAAACATTTTTATCAGAAAAAATTTCCTTGACCCCTTACTAATATTATAGCTAAGTTTCGATTATTTTTAAATGATGGTTAAAATTGTTGATATTTTATTTTTTATAACCGTCGTAAACCAGCCGACCCATATTTTGGTTTTACGACTACTAATAACCAGCTCCGTAGCCTTGTAATTTTGAACCAATCCAGATGACAAGAAAACTCCCCTAGAGGTATGCCTCCGTGGAGGACTTTTTGATGGAACTAACCTGCATTTGTGTTACATAGAGAGGAAAACCTCCCACGATTAGCCTGTCGGCAAGGGGACTCCAACCCATGATCCGTCTACTACCACTGGCGATTTTTTACGTCAGCACGAGGGTTGGTGCGTGCCGGGAGCGGAGTTCGTATTGACCCAGGGCTAAAGAGAATAGAAGGGCTAGTTCACTCCGCTCTTAGAGCTGAAGCTACGATTTCCCTCCTCATGACGTCACTGTGTCCATAGATCTCGGAAGATCACACGCAAAGATATTAAGATATTATGATAACTTTGCATCTTTCTCTTTGTAAAAATAAGNTGCAGAGAATAACTCATTTTAGCACATTTAAACTGACCACTGATGATTTAGAGAAATAAAGCATTCCCGCAACAGCCCATTATGGGTCGGGGGAAGTAAAGGCTCCGCGATTTATTGACCAACGGCATGATTGAGGTAATGCGGTCAGCACTTACTGACAGGCCACTTTTATTTCTCAGATAAGCTGGTTGAGTTTCAAGTCGTCACTGGGGATCGGACCTCAGTTTCTTACTGATTATGTATACTAAAGCATAATGTTATATAGTTGAAATGAAGAGATTATCCATAACTTAACTAGGTTTTACTGATGCATTAATTTTAAATGGCTAATTTTGTTTTAGCATGTGATAAATTTCGTCTAATTTATTATGGGAGGTATAGGGCTATTCATCAGCTCCATGTTCCCCTTCACGTGTTTCTCCTTACTTTTTCCAAAAGGCTGCCTTGTTTTTCCATAGTATGATAATAATACTTTACGGGAAAAATTATTCATAATTTTTTTAAAAATATGTAATTTCCTGGCTTTATTTTAAGTAGTCATTTTTTTTAAGTACAATTATTTATTTTTTTTTAAAGTACTATTTCTCTTTTCTGTTTTTAAAAATCTAATTAAATGTGCAAAAATTATTAAAAATATTATTTTGAGATTTCGCCAGATTAAAACTATAAAAACACTCCTTATTCAATAATGAATGAATTATTTCTTGAAGCAAGAATTCCACCATGTTTGCGATTAGTTTTAGAGATTGACAATAGATGGGACTAGGAAACATTTTCTTGATCTCGGCCAGGTAATAAATTAAGGCTTAAAATTGAAGAAAATGAATTATGACTGTTTGAAATTTTTTTTAATTATTATCATTGAGATTTTAGATGAAACATCTAACCAGTTCAAAATTCGTTTAAGCAATTATATTGTCTTTAAATTCTTATCTTTCAATTTATGTTGCGATGTAAAGATAGATCAAAGAAAATATTGCACTATTTTAGACTAAAGTATTATATATAAGAAATAACAGAAAATGTTAGCATTCCATAGTTTTACCTAAACATAAATACTTTTTAAAATTATTTCCCAAATTTGATTTTTAATTAAATTCTTAACTGATTATGAAACATCGTGAGAATTATTGGAAATCCTAATAATTTAAATTTAGAGGCGCTTATAATAATCACATTACATTACAACTCATCTGGAACTCAGTTATCTTCAGCACTTAAACAGGTTTCAATGTTTTCTATCTTTACTTAATTTCCAGTTATTCGCCAGATTTCAAGAAAATTTTTTATTGTTTGAATATTAATTTACTACCTTTATATGTATTCTTTTTGTGCAAAAGACTAAAGAAATATATATTGAGGGCGATGTGTATGGAACATCATACCAGAGCTGTGGAGTCGATAGTTGTAATGTTAGATTCTAACTCCGAGAGCTTGTTAACGACTACGGTTTGTACAGCCCGCAAAAAAACACCTGAATAACTTTCGTTCTAATGATCGGATTTTTACGTACTAAGTGCCAATCTTAATGGTTTCTGGGGGTGACCTCAAATATGCTAATTGTTTAGTGCTAACTAATAATTAAGTTACGAAATCAGATACACAAGCTAAAATAAACTCTCGTTATAGTAAGAAAAGAAGTAAGTTTTGGTGTCTTTGTTGATTAAACTTGTCTACTTACCTAAAAAATCAAATTCACAAAGATACAGGCTAATCTGGATAATATTTCGTGACTGCTCCAATCATTGGAATGTCTCTGAAGTAAGATGTTTTGCGTGATGCATATTTCTTTAAAGGTTGGCACATTTATCAAATTTAAATAAAAACAAAGTATTACTGCTCATTAGGTTGAAGATATAAGTTGGCTAAAGAATGATAGATTGTTTTATAAATAGATGGACTTGAAGGATACAATTTTAACGTTCCCATCACATTTTACGGTTCTTAGATATCCAATACATTTTCGACTAAAGTCGTAAATATTAGATAATCGGTGTTTAAAAAAATTCACGTGATTAGAGAGACCTCTAAATAATCTTCAATTTTACTGGAACTTTTTGAACTTGATTTTTTTGGTAAGTAGACAAGTGTATTCGTCTTCGATGCGAAAACTGAGTGTTTTTTGCCCCTCCCTTGGATGCATACAGTTTTATTCATTGTAATTTATGTTATTTTTATTTCACTTTTGTTATCTTGTATCACTGCTGCGTGATTATACTTTTATATAATTATATTTATGTACAGTGCGGAAGAGAACGGAATGGCTGACTAACTTTTGATCTCTGCAATTATAACAGTTCTAGAAGTTTGATTAAAATCTGCTTTGATTAGTGTAGACGATATTTAATATAATGAAATCCGACACAAAGACATATATTCTTTGAATAAATATTTTCTCTTGGCAGATTTGGAGTCTTGATTACCAAAATATAAATATAAATGGTCAGAATATGAGAGCGTTAAAAAAAAATTAGTCGTAATTTATTTTATTTTATTGAGAGACATCAAATTGGATATACCATTTCGGTACCTGTTCTCGCCAACTGAAATCGTCAAGGCGTCAAATAAATTTGTACGCTTGTTAAATTTAGAATAGATTTTACATATTAATTACAGTTA